AGTACAAGAGTAGGAAAATCAAATATATAGGGGAAGGTAGCTTGTAGGAGAAGCTAACCTTAACCATGGTTCACTAGGAACCATGGTAGGGTTAACTTAAACTCCCACGGTTTAGCTAGCTTGTAGGAGAAGCTAACCTTGACCATGGTTCACTTAAGAACCATGGTAAGGTGAGCTAACCTTACTTGAGTTTAGAAGCTTGCAAGACAAGCTTCAAAACTCAAGAAGGAAACTTAGAAATTTCGGCCAAGTGAGAACTAGTAAGCTAGGCGGCCTTGAACCAAAATTGCTCCATGAATTATTTTGAAAATCTTTGATTTGGTTTAGTTAGGTTCATCATATGATGATGAGACCTAGCTAAATCAAATCTATGAAAAATTAGGAGCAAAATGAGTCCAATATGTAAAATTTTGCCTAGGCCCAACTCAGGCCCAATTTCTAAGCACACCCTCAAGCATTGTTAAATGTCACCCCCTTTTCCCTACTGAAAAAATACAAAATGAAAGTATCAACTAGGGAGGTTAAATGGAGTTAAACTCTCCAAGTAACCTACCTCAAAATCAATACACAAACACTAAGATAAGCAAGTAAAGTGCCTCACAAATACAAAGGCAAAAATAACCTATACAAGAGACTATTTACAAAATATATGAAAAAGGTCTTTAATATCATCTCATTCCTCTTGGTTCTTTCAGTATATCACCTCTTGGATTCCTTGACCTTGGCCATAGTCTATCACATGGGTTGAACTCGGCCCCTCAGTCTAACCAGGTCCTCCTGCTGCTTGGACCACCTATGCTTCCAGTTGTCCACAATGGCCATAGCCCTCTGCAGAAGGACCTGAGCAACGTCAAAGCTTTCCACGGGCCCAACCTCTTCGATCATCTCCTAATCCTCCGAGCATAGCGAACCCTTGGGAAAGAACTTCTCGGCGGTCACGCCCGCGCTCCATAGCGAATCCATGTCAGCCGAGGCACTCACATGGTCCAATTGCACATCAGAGCGGTCCTTCCCAAAGCGGGGGGCAATGTATCAACTCCGAGAGGCCCCCTGTGATGGACCTGACGACGGCGCAGAAGCTGCGGGCGTAGATGTTGGGACCTCAGAACTTGGCCCCTCGCCCCGAACCTTGGTGGTAGCAGAAGTGGCAGCAGACGTCCCCTGCTCTGCACCGAAGACACCCGCTCCTGGCTCCTCAGAGCTCGGAGTCTCCAGGACCTCGACAGCCTTGCTCGCCTACAAAAAAGAAAATAGTAGCAACTTAAAACAAAGCTCAACCAGAACGCAACATAAAAAGGAAAAGAGAAGCCACAAGGCAAGACACATACCTCGGCGGTCGTCTCCATAGCAGCCATTTGAGGAGCCTCCCCGAGCGGAGGACTCCCAGTCAGGTCGACTGCGTCGGCATCAACAGCCTTGGAGGTCACCTCTTCCATGCCACGAGCGGCAGAGGTCCCCCCGACCTCTTTCTCACCCCTCTTTCTTTTTCGGTTGATCTTCAGGGGGAAATCTCCTCCTCTTGAGGCTCGGGAACCTCGAGCTCGGCAACGTTGTAGCGGTGCTTCAGCTCACGCCACTTACTTTTGCCCATTATGCCTGCAAACACAACGAATAAAACACATTAGCAAAAGAAGGTTTCACAAACCCTAACAATCTAAAGAGGACGAGATACTCACTCTCCAGGCCCCTCTCCTTGTACGCCGAATTCGCAAGTGACAAGACGAGCTTGCAATCCAGCGGGCGAGGAAGCGCGGCAAGGTTTTCAACAGCGGCCGCCTCCGAAGCCGTCAATTTCAATTGGCCCACCCCATGAAACCTACACAGTTTGGGCACCAGTAGAAGGGGAACCTCGGCAACCTGCCGAAGTAGAACGCCCCATCCTCCAATGGGTCGACATCCACAAGGGTAACCCGGAAAAACTCCTGTCTAAAATTTTTGTATGACTGGGAGTAGAGAGTGAATAAACCCCCATCCCTACTCCCACTCAAGGACAGTATGCCATAAGGCGGAACGCCTATCTTCAACTAGTAAAAATGAAGAAAGACGGGAAGGGACACCTCTATCCCTAGAGCCGAACACAGGACTTGAAAAGCCCTCAAAAAACCCCAACTATTTGGGTGCAACTGGCAAGGAGCCGAGTTGATAAAATTCAAAAAATCGCACTCGAATTGAGTGAAAGGAAGGCAGACACCTAAGTCCCTAAAGAAACATTGGTAGACATAGAAATGGGGAGGGTCAGTAGACTTCCCCATGTACACGCTCTCTCCGGCCTGACAAGGTTCAAGCCGAATCATTCGGGAAATAGAAGGGTCACAAACTCTGTGCGATTTCCAAACTGCATTGACTTCAAGAAAAGACCGAAACACACTTTGGGTCTCCCCCATCTCGCGCCGAACCCAATCGTAACCAGGAATGCCTGGAACGAGGTCCTT